GTTCTGAAGCAAAAAATGATAAACATGTGGCGTTTGCAACAAGCAAGAACTTCAAGAAAGGTAGCAGTGCAAAACCAAAAGACAAGTTTCAGAAAAGGTTCACGTTTCAGTGTCGTAACTGTGGAAAGTATGGTCACAAGAGAGCTGACTGCAGGAATCCACCGAAGGATAAGGGAGAATCTGGAAGTGCGAATCTAACCACGGAGAATTACGGGAAGAAGCAAGGTGCAGAAGAGGAGTACGCATTCAATGTGGAAACCGAAACTGAGAAGGAACTTCAACCTGGTTTCTAGATTCAGACGCAACAGAACATCTGGCTCGTCCGAGTGAGAAGCTTGTGAACGTCAAGACCTTGGAGAAACCAATACAGATACATGTAGCGAAATCTGGTCATAAACTGACAGCGACGGAATGCGGAGAACTTAAGGTGCGTACAGAAGTAAATGGACATGCACGATCAATAATAATTAAAGAAGTGTTGCTTGTACCACACCTTTAATTCAATTTGTTATCTGTTCGAAAGTTAGAAATGAATGGATACAAGATACAATTTAGCGATGGGAAAGGTATCATACAGAAAGAAGATTCCATTGTAGCAGTTGCTTATCGGAAGAGCAGACTCTACGAGCTTGAATTTTGTACCAAACCTGTGATTGCGAACGTATGTAACACCGAGACCGACAGTGAAGTTGGCACAAACGATTCGGCCATCTAGGTTATGATGCGCTTCAGAAATTGCCAACTATGGTATGCGGAATCAAGTGGAATAACCACACCAACAAGGCTGAACGTTGTGAAGTGTGTATAACAGGTAAGCAGACAAAATTACCTCATTCATTTGGGTACGGAATCTCACGACAAGAAGAAATATTTGCTGACATTTATTGACGACTACACTCACTTCACCGCAGCATATACGTTAAGCGAAAAGAGTGAGGTTTACAAATATTTCAAGCAATTTCACGCAATGGCTGAAGCACACTTCAACTTGAAGCTAAGTCGATTGAGATGCGATAATGGCCGTGAGTACCTTTCCAATGAAATGAAAAGTTATTGTGCTCAACGAGGTATTCAATACGAGTTTACGACAAGGTATACACCACAACAAAATGGCGTTGCAGAACGCATGAATCGTACTATTATAGAAAGAGCACGTTGTATGATTTTAAATTCGCAGTTAAGTAAAATGTTTTGGTCTGAAGCCGTCCTTACAGCAGTCTATCTTATCAATAGGAGTCCGACAGAAGCGATAAAAGCGAAAGTTCCGGCAGAACTTTGGTACGGAGAGAAGCCAGACGTTCAGAAGCTGAAAGTATTTGGATGTGTTGCCTATTTACGACTACCTAAGGAACTGATAGGAGGAAAATTTGACTCACGCTCCAAGAAATGTCTAATGGTTGGATACTGTACGAATGGCTACCGCCTATGGTGTCCGGAAGAAAAGAAGATTATTCTTGGTCGCGACGTAATCTTCAATGAATCAAGGTATAGCATTAATGAAGACTTTTATAAGGAAATACCCACAGAAATCCAAGAGAAGGATACACCTACAGCTGAAACAAGACCGATCTTAAGTAGGGATAGGAACTCAAGCAGCACAGAAGGAAGCTTTGAGAATGCTGAAGAGGAAGAAGTGGATCAAGATGGAAACACGAACAAGTCAGGAATGGATGACCTGAAGAAGACTACTATACCTAGAAGCAGTACAAGAGTCAGAACCAAATCGAAATACTTAGAGGACTACATTGGAATAGCGCTAAACGCTGAAGCATTTGTCGATGATGTTCCAGAAGACTACAATGATAATAGACAAAGAGAAGATAAGGACAAATGGTACAATGCAGTTCAAGAAGAAATCACATCTCTATTGAAGAACAACACATGGACAATTACAGAGTTACCGAAAGGCAAGAAGGCTATCGACACTAAATAAATATTTAAGATTAAACGAGATCAAGATAACAATATTCATCGGTATAAGGCTCGTCTGGTAGTGAAGGGGTGCGCTCAAAGAAGAGGATTTGATTACACAGAAACGTATGCACCTGTAGCGCACATTACGACTGTTAGAACACTTTTCTCCGTTATCAACCACGAAAATTTTCTACAAGGCAACTAGATGTGAAGAATGCATTCTTGCATGGAGAAATAGAAGAGGACATATACATAAAAATCCCTCAAGGTATTGAGGAACAATCTACAACAAATATACTGGTATGTAAGCTAAATAAGTCTTTCTATGGGCTTAAACAAGCGCCACGTGCCTGGAATGAAAGGTTTGACGAATTTATAAAACGTCATAACTTTAAAAGATCTGAAAGTGATAAATGTCTATATATACGAATTACGATACGCAGCAAGTTATATCTTTTACTTTATGTAGATGACATTATCATCGCAGGTGACGACGAACACGAGCTACTTGAACTAAGAGGCATATTAATGCACGAGTTTCCAATTACAGACTTGGGAATACCACATGATTTTCTTGGAATGAAGATCGAGATTCAGCCGGATGGAGTGTTTCTAAGTCAACGTGCCTTTATGGAACGCCTCCTGGAACGCTTCAATATGACTGAATGTAAACCAATCAAAACGCCAATGGAAACACGAGTCAATTCAACAAGTAAAGAAGGAGCAGAGAGTATCATCGAAACGAAGCCGTATCGGGAATTGATCGGATGCCTGATGTACTTGATGCTCTACACTAGACCTGATTTAAGTGCAGCGACCAACTACTACAGTAGATATCAAAACTGTGGTACGGAAAGTCATTGGAAAGGTCTAAAGCGAATTCTGCGCTACATCAAAGGAACTTTAGATTATGGACTGTTTTTTCCAAGAAAGAAGAGCAATGAACCACTACTTGCGTACGTAGATGCTGACTGGGCCAACGATAGTGATCGAAAATCAATTACTGGATATTTTATTCAAGTTTATGGAGCTACGGTGGCATGGGTGACTAGGAAGCAAGCAACTATAGCCCTGTCGTCAACAGAATCGGAGTATGTAGCGTTGGCCACAGCTGCAACTGATATCATATGGTTCAAGAAATTATTAAGCGATTTAGGGATCATTTGTAACAAACAAATTACTGTCTTTGAAGATAATCAATCTTGCATTCATTTACTAAGTAAATGGGAACATCGTAGACTTAAACATATAGATGTTAAATACAATTTTGTAAAAGAACTTTGCAGTAGTAGACAGTTAGAGGTAGTATATATTCCTAGTGAAGATCAAACTGCAGACATGTTAACAAAAGGTTTGACAGGTGAACGGTTTGTTAAATTGCGCTCACGTATTGGAATTTGTATGCTTTAGTTTTTATTTCTAAATATGTAAAGTTGCTAAAATTGCGGGGGAGTGTTAAAGAGACAATTCAGTGCAATCATTATAAGGTCTTTATAGATGGCGTTGTAGCCAATTCATTTTTTAGTTTATTCAGGTTCGCCTCTAGCTTTATATAGTTTATGTTCTTTCCTAGAGACTTCCCGCGTTTTTCTTCTGAGATTTTTATCCGCTGTCGTCGCTAACGTTTGTATCGTGCGTCTGTGGAATTAAAGACTTCACTTCTCTGTTCAGTAAAACCGAATACTGTTTATTCCTACACCCATCATCACTTTTCAATCTTTTTTCGTTTGCTGGGTAATCAATGAAAGACCGACACTGACTAATACAAATATCCAGTTGGAGAATCAGGCTCAATCGACTATCACTCGTCCCACTAATATAACTAATCTTCAAGATTTTCTTGCTCATTGGGCAATCCAAAACAAAATACCTCAATCCGTTGTGAACGATCTTTTGAGAGGGTTAAAGAAATTTGGTCATCCTGAGCTTCCGTCTGATGCTAGGACATTATGTGACACGCCAAACAGAACTGATATACAGGCTCTCGCACTTATGTTTATTATGGCTTAGAGAGGGCACTGAAAAAACAGTTGAGAAAGTATAATGTATTGCTGCAGCGTAATTCTGACACGGAAATTTCTGTGATTTTCCAAATTAACATTAATATCGATGGACTACCTCTATCAAAGAGTTTTAAGAGTCAGTTGTGGCCCATATTAGGTAAAGTTGTTGGAACTCAGTTTGTCGAACCATTCGTTATTGGAGCGTTTCATGGAAATAAAAAGCCTTCATCCGCTGCTCAATTTCTACAAGCATTTCTCACAGAGTACATGAAATTGTACAATGAGGGTTTTATTTACGAAAATCGAAGCTATTTTATACCATTGAACGCAATCCTTGCTGATACTCCTGCACGAAATTTTATCTCTTGTTTTCCCGCTCATAATAGCCGTTGTGCCAAATGCATTCAACCTGGTAAAACTGTGAATGGACGACGAATATTTCTAGAGAAGGATTCAACTTTGAGAACTAATGCGACTTTCAGAGAAGGATTACCTGCTGCATTTCTGAATATCATGTCTCCTTTTGAAATCATAGGTATTATTGATATGATAAAGCAATTCCCTCTCGATTATATGCACCTGTTGTGCTTAGGAACGATGAAAAAACTTCTTTTACTTTGGATCCACGCTATGGGAAAATCCGAGGAAGCATTAGCTAAGCTTGCCGCGTTTAACGATTTTTATCGCAGGTTAGCTAAATCTGTTCCAGCAGAATTGTCACGACATCCGCGTTCTTTGGAAGAAGTTGCTCAGTAGAAAGCGACAGAGTTCCGATTGTTCCTGTTGTATTTGGGACCCGTGGTTTTTCAGCATTTATTAAGTAAACCTCAGATCATACATTTTAATGCTCTCAACTGTGCCGTTAGAATTCTTTGTGATCCAAGAGAATGTGTACGCAATAACAGCTATGCCCAAGATCTTATGATCTACTTCGTAGATAACATGGAACTCTTGTATGGAGAAGAAACATTAATTTACAACATTCACAATTTAATTCATATTCCAGAGGATGTTCTAAATCACGGGCCCCTTGACTCTTTCAGTTGCTTTCCGTTTAAAAATTTTTTGCAAAAAATTAAATTAATGATCAAAGGTGGTGCCCAACCTTTAGCGCAATTCATAAAAAGAATAACAGAACGATCAATCCATCTTATACCTTCAGACAACTCGAAAACTGGTTACAATTACTTAAACAAAAGGAAGAATCGATTAGATGACCATCAATTACCGCCGGGATATACCAATTTCCATCAGGAAATCCAATTTCAAGACTTTTTGCTAACTGACAAAAGTCCTAACAATTGTTGCTATCTATCGAATAACAGCGTTGTTCTCGTAGAACATATATGCTGCTACAAGGAAATTCCTGTTATTGTTGGTCGCCAATTTATCAACACTCATCCTATTGCTGATTATCCGTGCGATTCTCGCAATTTAGGCATTTTCGATGGACGTGAGCTTTCTGAACTTCAAACATGGAACATAGACGAAATTGATCGAAAAGGCTTTGTTGTTCCGTACGACGCTGATTCTGTGTATGTTTTCCCTCTAATTCACAGCGACACATAAATAGACGTTATATCCTGTAGTTTTTTATGTCCATTTTATTATTACTAATCTTCACTTTACACGTTACGATTTATTTTATTGTCGCATTGCCAAATGTTTATTTTATGGATGAGACTACGTTCTTTATAGTACAATATTTTTTTTTGTGACGTACTATTTATATTTACAGATTTAAAACATATATCATGAGACATCCCGATTCTTTACATCAGAGGAATTGGCGAAAGCGTCCACGCTTTCTTTTCAGATTTTCCCGACAACCTATATTTCACATCACAGATCTACATATTTTATTGGTCAATTCACAGGTTTGATATAGATATGTGTGGATATGAGCCTGTTGCTTGATTTAATTTTGATTTTATTTATTGGTACACGTTTGTATTGGCCGCATTGTGTTCTTGGTCGTTTATTTATAACATTGTTCCATTTCGATGCTAGTACATTTTGATGTGATTACACTTGTTCCCCTCTGTCACGCGTGATTATTGTGTCTATCAAAGGGTCAGGGTTCCACTTTGCATGGTGCTGTTTCTTATTTTCTCCTGTTAAAATATGATATTTAACTGTACTTAAAAAAAATGGCCATTATGAAATATTTATATCTACATACTTGTGTCTCTCAAAGAGTCAGGGTTACACTTTGCATGGTGCTATTTCTTATTGTCTCACGTTAAAATATGATATTCAACTGTACTGAAAAAAAAAACTGGCCATTATAAAGTATTTATACCTACATACTGTGTAGGATATGGCAGCTATTCAGAAACACCACAATAAGCAGAAAAGATCAATGCCATCGCAAGCATCAAAAGGAATGTGTAAGTTTATACTTGTCGATTGGAAAGATTATGCAATATACGTCGTAATATTCTACATTATCTCTTACATTTCACAGCTCAAGCAAAGATAATCAAGATCCGAAACATGTATCTCCCGCCCAACAAATTCAAAGGTACATTTTATGTATTAAATATAAGAATCTTATAAGGTCTACATTTTTTGTGTATAAAAAAAATATGCTGGGCGTAATTTATTTTTGCAGCAGGAACAGATACGGCTAACATCTTGAACAATTCCGGCGTTCAAATAATCGAAAACAGTTCTGTAGCACCGGTGCAAAACGCGAACAAAAAGTACGTGTCGCAATTGCAGAAACGCAGTGCGCAAAAAATTTCCACTTCTTCACCCTTACACCAAGACCAGACTATCTTAGAATATCTGCAGGACAATGCGAAAACTGCAGAAGAGCAAGGTAAGCATTGATAAACTGTCCCAGCATTATATTCAAAATGGAATAAATCAACACGAAGATATTTTACTCTGTAGATGATGAATATACGTATGCAGAATTTTTGGAAGACAGCAGCAATGATGAAGTAGTTGGAAATGATGAAGTACGTGAAACTGATGAAGTAGTTGAAAATGATGAAGTACGTGAAAATGATGAAGTAGTTGAAAATGATGAAAAAAATAATAATCAAGGTGACGATGCATTAGACAACGACGAAGTAATTGTCAATCGAGAAGACAGACCAGAAATACATCCACACGATGCTGCAGTATGCTGCAGTAAGTATTACAAATTCTATATCTGTATATATCTGTCTTATATTTTTATGGTTGTGATCCGCTTAACTCTACAAGTGCTTCAAAGCATCCTTCTTCTCCTTTCTTTTATTTCATCGATGAATATGTACATGTCATTTTATAGTGTAAGAAAGCATATTGGAATTAGATTCCGATACGGAAACTTATAGTTCATTAGAGGCATATAAATCTTTGCACAAAAATAATCAGCCAACAAGTCCGTCAATATTCGCCCATTTAAAGAAGAGACCGAAACAATCTCGACTTGCATTTTATTCAGTCAAAAATAGTGAAACTGTTACTGAAAATAGTTTTTACATTTAACAATGTCATTTACAAGCAAAATTATGGATCTCCAATGGGCTCCCCTTTATCTCTGATTGTGGCAGATATCGTTATGGAAGATCTGGAGAAAAGGGTTTTGGATGCATTGAACACCCTGATTTGCACACACTGTAGATGCGGCTCACACTGGCGGAGAACATGCTGGATCGCGCTGATACGGATCGTGCTCGAACAGCGGCTGCAATTAACACAGCAGCAGCAGCCGTTCACTCTACCGCCTGTGCCCTCGCCTGTCCCTGTGGATAATTGGTCGGAACCGTCAGAGCCATCGTCGATTCACCATCCGCCTCAGAGCACGCCGACGCATTCGCCTCTGACCTCTGAGGGGCAAGCAGAACTCAGAAGTCTCAGAACATGTTTGACGACGGTGCATCACAGTACCATATGTGAAGGGTGTAGGCGAAGATATCCGACGCATTTTTAATACAGTCCATCTTGATACAGTATATAATATTCCTAAGAAACTCGAGGGTATCATAAAGAGTGGAAAGGACAAGCTTGTCAGGGAGAACGAGACCGAATTGGTGTATGAGATAGAATGTGGTGATTGCGATGCAGTTAGTATATAGGTCAGACTAAGCGTCATCTATCAACACGGGTCAATGAACATAAAAAGGACATCATAAAGCACCCCAGCAATCACTCTGTCGTGAGCAAACATCGAATGCAGTTTGGTCACAATTTTAAATGGGAGAAAACTAACATCATCCACAAAGAAAAAAACATAAAAAAGAGAGA